AAGAAACTGTTTTTTTTTAAAGGGGAAAAAATAAACAGAAAAGAAAAAAGCAATAAATGACGTTGGAATTTAGCATCAACAATAATATTCATGTTCATTTTCATTGGATCCAATAGTAATTTTTTTAAAAAGCAGGATTTCTTCGTTATTTAGGCTGAATGTAACTTGCTAACTTGTGCATCAAAACCATATAAAATACATTTACTGATATGTGATGAACTATATAATTCTGCTGAAGGACAGATAAAAGACAATGTAATAGAAGTGCTTATAAAGAGTTTAATTATCATGTTTTAGACTAGAAAACCACGCTGGCATTTAAAGTTTATCCACCTTTCCCAATCAGACTCAAAAGAAGAACCWATCAGTGAATTTAAAACGTGTTTAAAAATTCAAAATACAGAACTTAGACGGGACTCAGCATTAAACTATTTCACATCAAACGTACCTAAATTTTACAATAACTGACACACTTGTAAATAAATGCTGCTTGAATAAGTCAAYTTTATTAAAATACAGCTCATAAGTTTTATTTTTAAATCTTAAAAGTATTCCTGACCCCAATATATTTTTGCTGATTTGAGTCATTTTTGACATAAATTCATCTGTGAAAGTGTTGCAGTTTGTTGCGTTTGTACAGTGGTGCAGTTTGCTTCTGTAAAATTAATACATTTAGATTGTTCTTTCTCTCCAATTTTTTCCTTTATTTTAGTAATTGAATTTCAAATACATCTCAGTCTAAGAGATGCATGATTATTTTTTCTTACATTACTGCTAATTGCATTTCATTTTGCGTGCAAAATATTTTTTAGCATCATCCTACAAATTCCTATCACCCAAAAATGCAAATCTGACTTTTTTTTTTTAATCTAATTTAAAACGCTTCAAATTCCAGAAGTTAGCACAATAAACCAAACGTTAACAAATACCCTGCTCATTTCAGGTAACTTTAGAAGTTCAGGTTTTATTTTAAAATATGCTTTCAGCTCTGGAAACACTTATGTTTTAATTTGTACAATAYTAAAATCAAACTGAATCGTTTTTTATACTGTGTAGGGCCGTCTCTGACTGCAAAAGATGTTCTGTCAGCAGATGTGTTAAAAGATGGAAAAGTTAAAAAAAAAATACCACAATTTAGGATTAAAATATGTGAGACTTGTAAAAATGACGTATTTTTACCTTCATTTGTCCCTCGGTGAGGACAGCAGGCTGGCCCTGTGGGAGGTGGACAGTGGGGGCAGGGACAGTCACGGGCGGTCCTGGTTGGATGGACACCGTTTGAGGAGCAGCCTGTGGCTGACCGTGTGCCTGGACTTGTGGGTAAGGTCTGACCACCATGGTCTCCTGCTTGTCATCTCTGAAAGCTAAAGTGGCCCCACCCGTGGAAGGAGGGTGGTCCTGCTGAGCATGATCTGCATCCCGAATGCTCTCTCCATCTGCACCAGCAGTTACCAGATAAACAGGATTCAGCACAGTTAGATGTTAACTTCTGGTGAGCATCATGTGAGTGAAGAAGGTGGGGRTGTGTTACCTCCAGCGTTTGACGGCTGGTTGACAGGCACCAGGTTTGCAGCGGCCGCAATCTGAGGGGCTCCCCCGCTGGAGGCAGGCAGCCCGTGTCGGGGGAACTGCTGTGAGCTCATTGTTACCACTTCTGGCCAGAAACAGAATAAAATCAGTTTTAAATCCGATTCCGTGGTTAGGTGAGTGAATGACTGCAGCATRAAGCACGTATGAAGACTTTGTGCAGACTGCGCGCGGATACAACAAGCTAATGCAGATCTGCGGATTTATATTTCCAGCTAAAGAGACAGGATCAAACAACAAAAGACGAATGGGATAATAAAATAAACAGCTACATCATGGCAAAAGAACAAGATAGCCAAGCGTCTACTTTAAATAAACAGTAAAAATCTTTACACTGCTAAAACAACGGAGCTTCTAAAAAACAAGTTCTTGGTTGAACACAAACTGTTATTTGACTAAAAACACAAAACGCGATCTCAGCCGAGCCTAAAAACCTCTCCTGCGATTTACCGTTTTGGCTTTTTAAGCTTAAATCTAAAATGCTGCCTTGATGCTAGCAAGCTAACTGCGCTAGCATGAAGCTAACGTCGATAACCTGCTGCCGCCTTCTTTTCTTTCCTCAACTTTCTGAAGAGCAAAACCGCGCAAACTTCTCGCGACTACACCAACAAACACGTCTCTGTAAGTGGGCAGACATTACCGTATCGTTAAATAACTATGCAATGGTCGTTCCGTGGATTACAATTTTTTCCATTCGTCTTTTTTCTTTTTTTTTCCCCAACATGTAAGCCGGAAGAACGCTCAGGAAGATCCAAGCTTCTTTGCCTCTTTCCACCAATCAGAAAACGTGTTGCCTGAATTGTTGACCAATCGGAGCTGCAGGATGACTCTGGTCAGCCCACCGCTGCTGTTGGACCAATCAGGAACCGCTGGCTTTCAACCTGCGCACAGCATGGTCACGTGGTCACCTCGGGCAGCCAGCTGACCATGATGTTTTTACTACACATCCATCAAATGCAGCGGGAAGCGTTCATGTGAAGCATTACTTCTTTCCAGTTTTCTGATAAAGTCTATTGAAATTTAGGAAGTCTGCAATGAAACGTCTAATATGCAGGTCAAAGTACTTTATGTAAGTATTTAAACATTTTCCAACAACACTTGAAATATAATCTAACTGGTGCGTGCTACCCATTCCTCTTGATCACTGCTAAAGTTAGGTCCATATCTATTTGGATACTAACAAAAAGGTATTTTTTTACCTGTTTACAGAAACATATTCACATTGTAGTTCTATAACGGATTTGGACATAAAAACCYGACTTTCAGCTTTCATTTCAGAATCAGAATCGCCTTTTTTGTCATTATAATTTGCATAAAAATGAAATTGGTGGACAAGATAAAATAACTTTCGGAGAGTAGACAATACAATAAAATAGTCAAGTTAAAATCGAATAAAATTTGAGGGTATCCACATTAAAATTGGATGAAGAGTTTAGGAGTTCAGCTCCTAAACTCTTCATCGTGCTCACCAAGCTTTTAAAGGGACTAAAATTAATTGGACTCAAAGACTATTTTATGAGCAGGTGTGGGCGATTCCTTTATTTTGTCGTTCTCAATTAAGCAGGTCTGGAGTTGGTTTGAGGTGTTGTGTTTGCATTTGGAGTATTTTGATGTAAAGAAAAAAAAAACATATGAGAAATTTCTACAATATTAGGAGTGGCAAAATCTACAGTTTGAGACATCCTGAGAAAGAAAGAAAGAAAGCACAGGTGAACTCATCAATGCAAAATGACCTGGGYGTCCACAGAAGACAACAGTGGTGGATGATGGCAGAATAATCTCCATGGTGAAGAGAAAGCCCTTCACAACAGCCAACCAAGTGAACAACACTCTTCATGAGGTAGAAGTATCAATATCCAAATCTATTATAAAGAGAAGACTGCATGAACATAAATAGAGAGTTCACTGCATGCTGCAAGACACTCATAAGCCTCAAGAATAAAAAGGATAGACTGGACGCTGCTAAAAAAACATCTAAAAAACCACCACAGTTCTGGAAGGACATTCTTTGGACAGATGAAACCAAGATCAACCTCTWCCAGARTGATGGAAAGAGAAAAGTMTGGTGAAGGTGTGGTACAGCTCATGATCCAAAGCACCACATCATCTGTAAAACACAGCAGAGCAGTGTGATGGTCTGRGCATGCATGGCTGCCAGTGGCACTGGGTCACTAGTGTTTATTGATGACGTGACACAAGGACAGAAGCAGCCGAATGAACTCTGAGGTATTCAGAGCCAGACTGTGAGCTCAGATCAGCCAAACTGATTGGTCATCGTTTCATACTACAGATGGACAATGACCCAAAACATAAAGCCAAAGCAACCCAGGAGTTTATTAAAGCAAAGAAGTGGAAYATTCTTGAATGGCCAAGTCACTCACCTGATCTCAACCCAACTGAGCATTCCACTTGTTAAAGACTAAACTTGAAACAGAAAGACCCACAAACAACTGAAAACCATCACAGTGAAGGCCTGACAGAGCATTAAAAGTGAGGAAACACAGCGTCTGGTGATGTCCATGAGTTCAAGACTTCAAATGGTCATTACCTCATGGTGGCCCTCAGAGGGTCAGTTGTAATTAAATTCTATATTTCATCAGGTTTAAGTTTGACTAAACACTAAACACCACGTTTCTCCTCTCATGACTGAGCAGCTTGATCAAACAATAACAGAGCTCTACCTGGTATTTCCTGCAAAGAAACAGTGTTTTAATGTGTCCTCTTATAAACACTGAAAAGCACTATGTGTACGACTGATTAAATGTGAAATAAATAATACAGAAATACTATCAGAAGTAAAACTAAGAGACTTCTACTCACTGTTGAGTTGTGGTTTCTTGAATTCGGAACTCTCCCACTTTCTTCCAGGGAATTTCCACCGTCTGATAAAACAAAATGATAAAAAGTTACGGAGGTCTGGTCTGGATAATTTCTCATGCTGTTGTATTTTGGATTTAGAACACAGCTCGTTTTACAAAGTGTGAATTTTACAGATGGTATAGTCTCACCATGCTTGGCACAAACTGCTCAGTTTTTGATAGTATTTATAAATTCTACTGTTGGAAGTCATGCAGGTCTGAACAAAACTAGATTTAACAATTATTRTTACTGTTATGTACCCCTAAACACAACCCTTTGTCCCTGCCTAAAGTTCTGAGCAATGGGAAGCATGAAGTCATGCATATGAGCACAACATTACAACACATGGGAGGCATGGTGCAGTACACGTACTGACACACTAGAGAGCAGCAACGGTTTTCTTTCCTAAAAGTCACTAAAATGTGGAAGGAGCAAAACATCCTACAAGTTATAGTTTGCTCATTGTAATATYCCAGTCCTTTTCCTAAATAGCTCATTTGTAAAATGTCTCAGCAGACTTTATGTGTAATGTAATTATGTAAACTTTATGAGGTAGAAAATTAACATTAAAAGGACAACAGTGTAGCCTGGCTGCTTTTCTTTGATTTAAACATAATATTGATTTATGTCAATACTAAAKAAAAAACTCTTTAGAAATGTATATTTCTAAGGACTTTGGGACCAAGTTGTTGCCCTGTCTAAATGTTACCTCACTACTTCAGTTATGATACAAATATTTCACCAACTAAAGAAAAAAAATCACAATATTTTGTGAAGATATGTAATTTTAATGCGTTGAGAATGAATTCCACTCCATCTGCGTTCACAGCTTGTGGTTTTACAGAAAACACTTTAATCATTCAAATAAAAAAATATTGTTTTCATTGGGAAATTTTAAAGTGCTAAAGCGCTGTTACAATACGTTAAACACCAAAGTTAAAGAGATGTAAAGTCTGTTCTATTTGGTTTGATTTTTGTAATTTTTTTTAACTTAAGATGACTGCAAAGACAGGTTGTACAGTTTATATTTAGTAAACCAGTGAAGAATCCACTTTTATTCAAAAGAAAATAACAGCTTTAGTTTAGAGAGAAGTCGAGCCACATTAAATAGCATAAAACCTGGAAGAATTTACACATACATTTATACTTTTTACATATAATAAAAATGGTTTCAAATGATTATTTCTGTTAAGCAATGCAAAGTGACTTTAAGAAAGGAAGGGAACATTAAACCACATGTTTCAAACTCARGGATTGGGAGCCAAATGTGGCACGCCACTACGAGAGTCTATGAGAATTTAAATATTAATTAATGTTTTAAAATATGCATATGCTGATTTAAAGCCAGCTTTGACTAAAAACTGCATTTCCCGTAATACGTTGATTATTTTACCCACAAAATGACAGCATCCCACCACTAGGTGAAGCTGCACAGGGTTCAAAAGTAGCCAACAGCCGGTGAAATTTGCTGTGTAACATCATTTTGCTGCATTTTCACCGACTACTTTTGCTGCAGCCTAGTTGTACTGGGAAGTGGGAATTTCCCATTTACAAGTGGTTATACTCCAGTAAGAAATCCCTGTTGGAATGTGGAAAATTCAGAATTCAACAGTGAGTAAAACTCTCTTAGTTATAGCCTACTTTTGATAGTATTTCTGTATTATTTTTTTTCCACATTTATTCAGTCGTACACGTAGTCAGAGGTTTACAGTAACTAAG